AGCCCACCGACTCCCACAGCTACCTAGAATACACCTCCTCCCATCCACCTTCCTGCAAAAATGCCATCTCCTATTCCCAATTCCTTTGCCTCCGCCGTATCTGCTCCCAGGATGAGGCATTCCACTCCCGAACATCTCAGATGTCCTCGTTTTTCGAGGACCGCAACTACCCCCCTCTCCCAGTGGTCGAGAACGCCCTCGAACGTGTCTCCCGCATTTCCCACAAATCATCCCTCGCACCCCCTCCCTGCAATAACAACCAAAACAGAATCCCCCTCATCTTCACGTACCACCCCACCAACCTCCGGCTCCAACACACTATCCTCCGACCCCACCACCAAAGACATTTTTCCCTCCCCACCCTTATCTGCTTTCTGGAGGGACCACTCTCTCCGGGACTCCCTTGTCCGCTCCACACTCCCCTCCAGCCTCACCACACGCAGCACTTTTCCCTGCAACCGCTGGAAGTGCTACACCTGCCCCTACACCTCCCCCCTCACCCCCATCCTAGGCCCCAAGAAGACTTTCCACATCAAATAGATGTTCACCTGCACATCTGCTAATGTGGTATCTTATATCCGCTGTTCCCGTTGTGGCCTCCTGTACATCGGGGGGACCGCTTTGCAGAACACCTACGCTCGGTTCACACTAAACAACCGCACCTCCCAGTCGCGAACCATTTCAACTCCCCCTCCCATTCCTCAGACGACATGTCCATCCTGGGCCTCCTGCAGTGCCACAATGATGCCACCCGAAAGTTGCAGGAACAGCACCTCATATTCCGCTTGGGAACCCTGCAGCCCAATGGTATCAATGTGGACTTCACAAGCTTCAAAATCTCCCCTCCCCCAACCGCATCCCAAAACCAGCCCAGCTTGTCCCCGCCTCCCTAACCTGTCCTTCCTCCCACCTATCCCCTCCTCCCACCTCAAGCCCCAACCCCATCTCCAACCTACTAGCCTCATCCTGCCCCCTTGACCTGTCCGTCCTCCCTGGACTGACCTATCTCCTCCCTAACTCCCCACCTCCACTCACCTTTACTGGCTCCATCCCCGCCTCTTTGACCTGTCTGTCTGCTCTCCACCTAGCTGCTCCTCTATCCATCTTCTATCTGCCTCCCCCTCTCTCCCTATTTATTTCAGAATCCCCTTCCCCTCCCCCATTTCTGAAGAAGGGTCTAGGCCCGAAACATCAGCTTTCCTGCTCTTCTGATGCTGCTTGGCCTGCTGTGTTCATCCAGCTCTACACCTTGTTATCTCATCAGAATGTTGCCTGGCATGAAAAGTCTCAGTGACATGAAGAGACTGAATACGCTGGGTTTGTTTTCTCTGGAGCAGAGGAGGCTGAGGGGGTGTCTGATTTGAGGTATACAAAATTGAGGCATGGATACGGGTAGATCATGAGAATCTCCTCCTCATGTCTGGAACCAGAGAGCATAAGTTTAAGGTGAGGAGTAAGTGGTTCAGAGGGCATCTGAGGAAACATTTTTTCACTTGGGGGGTGTAGCCTGAGGGTTGGAGGCAGGTACTTTCGCAACATTTATCCACAAGCCTCATTTTTGCTAATCATCATTTTAGATAGCGTTAATGCCACTATCGCTACTATAGCTGTAATATTTACTGTATTCCATGCAATTGACAAAAATTAAAAATAAAGACTGAGACTTTTTCATTAAAGTGTAGGAGGTTGAAAGGTGACCTTATAGAGGTTTATAAAGTCATGAGTGGTATAGATCGAGATAATGGTAGGTGTCTTTTCCCTAGGATGGGGGATTTCAAGACTAGGGAGCATAATTTTAAGGTTAGAGGAGAGAGATTTTAAAAAAAGACATGAGGGGTAAATTTTTAACACCGATCATGGTTTGCATGTGGAATGACCTTCCTGAGAAAGTGGTGGATGCCGGCATAGTTACAACATTTAAAAGACACTTAGGTAAGTACATGAATAGAAAGGTTAGAGGGATTTAGGCCAGGAGCAGGCAGGTGGGACTAGTTTAGTTTGAGATTACGTTTGGCATGGACTGGTTGGACCCAAAGGTCTGTTTCTGTGCTGTATGACTCTATGAGCTACTTTTTTAAACACTTCCTTAAAATCCAATGCAGAGAACACCCACCACATTCCCTTCATCACCTTTGTTACCTCATCACAACATTCAATAAGATTAGTCAATTAACCGAAACCTCTCTGAAAGCCTGATGATGTTTTCCCTGATAGTTGTGACAAAACCTTATCCACTATTGATTTTAAACTAGGTGACCTGCAGTTGCTAGAAGTCTTCTTGCATCCTTTCTTGAGTGTGATTGAAACATCGCCACTTTCCAAACTCCTGGAACTTCTCCCTTATCTAGAACATAGGACTCCTAATGGAGTCACGTAGAAAGTGAGGGGCTCATAATGAAATTCTGTGCTTTAAAATATTGTGCTTGCAATGTGGGCATCACTGGCTGGGCGAGCATTTATTACCCATCCCTAGTTACCCTCGAAGGTGGTGGTAGTGCTGCCTTCTTGAAACACTGCGGTCCCTGTAGGTAGACCCACAATGCTGTTCAGGAGAGATCTCCATGATTTTTACCCAGCAACTCTGAAGGAATATTAGAGACATTTTAAGTGACTCTTGGAAGGCACATGGATGATAGTATAATGTAGGGTATGCAGGGTAGTTTGATCTTAGTACTGTTCTATGTTCTAAATATGTGGAGGAGTAGTTAAATTGCTAGGGCATAGGAAATGAACTAAATGCAGGTAAATGGGATTGATGTAATTTGGTGTTTGTTGTTGTTAGCTATGGTGGGCCGAAGGGCCTGTATGCTTCTAACTGTCATCAGACACTTGAGCTATCAGTTAAATTTTAAGAAGCTTGAGTTTTAGACTAGACCAGAGGGTGCGAATTTCACTGTGTTGTCTAATATCCTCTGAGAAAATTCTGTTTTTTTTAAACCAGAGTCCCTGGTCTGATGTGTATAGCCAATATTTTGTTTCTTTAATTTCATTTAAGTCCAAGATTTAAGAAATGGATCTATCACAGTGCAGATGTAGTATTGTTTGACAGCAAAAGGGAAGTTTTACCCTTCCACGCTGTGAAGTATCTGATCATGTGCTATATACCAAAATGAGCTGAAAATGGGGCATTTTCCTTTCTTGCAATATAATCTGTCATCATGTGGCATTTTCCTGACATAACTGTAGAGTAGTTAGGAGTTCTCCAGCATCCAATGTTGTATCAGCTATGATGCTACTGAATAGAGGAGCAAGCTCAAAGAGCAAAACAGCCTATTCTTGTTATTATTTCTTAGTCTTAAGTTTAATCAATCTTCTTTATTCACTCGTGGTATGTGGACATCGCTAGCTGGGCCAGCATTTGTTGCCCATTTCTCGTGATGATGAGTTGCCTTCTTGAACCGCTGTAGTCCATGTGCTATAGGTAAACCCACTGTGCCTTTGGGAGGAAATTCCAGAATTTTGGCCCATGGGCATTGGAGAAACATCAATATATTTCCAAGTCAGGATGATTGAACGGCTTGGCCGAGAACTTTCATGGTGGCGTTCCCATGTAGATCATAGATCATAGAATCTGTACAGGGTGGAAACAGGCCCTTCGGCCCAACAAGTTCACACTGACCCTCAAGGCATCCCACCCAGCCCCATCCCCCTATAAGCCACCTAATCTACACATTCCTGAACACTATGGGCAATTTAGCATGGCCAATCCATCTAGCCTGTACATCTTTGGACTGTGGGAGGAAACCGGAGCACCCATAGGAAACCCACACAGACACGGGGAGAATGTGCAAACTCCACACAGACAGTCACCCAAGGGTGCTGCACTTGTGCTTCTTGTTGGAACTGGTCATGGGTTTGGAAGATGCTGTGGAAGGATCTTTGAATTTCTGCAGTGTATTTTCAATTACTGATAGTCCCCATTATCATCCAACTAGCTTCTCCTCTTAATAAAATGAGAAAACTGCAGATATGAAACAAAAACAAATTACTGGAGAAACTCAACAGGTCTGGCAGCATCTGTGGATAGAAAGCAGAGTTAATGTTTTAAGTCTGTGTTTGTTGGAGATTGCAGTGTACATATTGGTTGTCACATTTCCTACATTGCAACAGTGACTGCAGTTTGGATGTCTCAAAATGCTTGCGTTCAGTGGTCGTGAAAAGTGCTATGTAAATTAGTCTGTCTTTTTTTGTTCTACGGAGTACCACTCCAGCTTTGCTGGTTTCTTTACGTAAGTGATTCATCTACAGCTGCTGTATGATCAGTTTTCTTCTCAACAGTCATGTAGTGTTTGTGAATAGTATTTTGCTTAGAGCTGAGATTATGAGTGACAACTGCTTCAATTTTCATTTTACCCCTGCTCTCATCATTGTGTGATTGATCACTAGCATAGTGGGTAATTCATTGTAGGAAAGATGGGGGAGTGGAAGAATTATCAAGAGTATACCTGCAGTTAACCAGCTTGATATTGATGCAACTTGCTGTTAGCCATGTTCCCCGTCAGGTGATATTTTGGAGTGGAAAAAACATTGCTCTACTATTTTCACGACTACAGATAAAAATGCATTTTCCCTTCGATAAATTTCATTTTAAAGGAGGTTGCCTACCAAGCTACTCTGTGCATCACTACTGTATTTCTTTTCCCTGTGCAGAATTCACTATTGAGCTGGTTTAGTTAGTGAAATTTCAAGTTATGATCTCCAATGATTCAAAATATTCACTGACCTCATGTCTTAACGACATTGGAAGGGGTTTAAATAGAAAATATATGGATTTGTATATCTTATGTTTTGCATTCCGATAATTGCATTCCAGACTCACTTATCTCCCATCCTCCTGTCACTTTTTTTGTGCTGTTTCTGGTACATCTGTTTACCATGGTTTTGGTTATCTGCTGCGTAAAGAAATTGCAGCTGTCTTGTGCAGTGACACCATACTGTAATATTCAGACTCCCATCAGCAACCTGGGTTTCATGATTAACATTTGTATGGCGGTTCACAGGTAGAAGAAGAATTATGGGAGGAAGAATTCTTGGAGCGTTGTTTTCAGGAAATGCTGGATGAGGAGGATCAGGAATGGTTCATTCCTGAGCGGGATTTGCCAGCAATCAACCAGATGCAACAACAAATGAATGGATTATCCATAAATGACAGCAACAAGACAGAGGAACTCGTGGTAAGGAGCCAAGAATAGTGGATGCGAACCTTACCCACATTATTGTAAAAATGTTTGCAGTTCGATCAGTAGACTGAATGCAGGGCAACTTCCTTTTCCTTTCAATATGACTATTAAATAAGTCTGTGGGACCACATATATTTGCAGAAAATAATTTGCTATTTAAAGTTCTAGCAAAAATTTGTAGCTCGGGTTGTTGACTTGCTTGCCGAGCTGGCTTGTTTTTTGTTCAGAATTTTCGTCACCATGCTAGATGACATCATCAGTGAGGCCTCTGATGAAGTGATGTTATTCTACTCCGCTTGGAATTTATACTGTCCAGCCCGTTATCGTGAGTAGTGTCATTTCTGGTTTTGATCTGTATTTGTTTGTATATGGGGTCCAATTCTCTCTGTTTGTTGATTGCATTATGGGTGGAGAACCATGCCTCTAGGAATTCCAATGTGTGTCTATGTTTGTCTTGGGCTACTATGGTTACCTTATCCCCGTTAAACTAATGGCCTTCTTTGTCTGTGTGTACTGATGTTAAGGAAAGTTCATCATGCCATTTTGCTGCTAGCTGACGTTCATGTATTCTGATGGCTAGTTTCCTTCCTGTCTGTCCGATGTAGTGTTTGTGGCAGTCGTTGCGTGGTATTTTGTAAACCACATTGGTTCTGCATGTTGTGAAAATGGGGTCTTTAATCCTTGAGTGTTTATCGTAGAGTAGCTGTGGGCTTGTGTGCTACCATGATTCCTGGTGGTCTTAGGAGTCTTGTTGTCAGTTCTGATATGTTCTTGATGTAGGGCTGTTGGGGCGTATTGTGTCCTCCTGTTGTCTGTTTAGGCATCTGTGGATAAAGTTGCAGGGATATTTGTTCGTAGCGAAGATTTTGTATAACTACTTTTCCTCTTTCCTGCGTAGTTCTGGTGTGGCAGTATGTCATGACCCGTTTAAATAGTGTTCTAATGCAGCTTTGTTTGTGGATGTTGGGGTGGTTGCTGTCCACAAACAAAGCTGCATTAGGACACTACTTAAACAGGTCATGACACACTGCCACACCGTAACTATGCAGGAAAGAGGAAGAGTACCTATACAAAATCTTTGCTATGAACGGATATCCCTGCAACTTTATCCACAGATGCCTAAACAGACAACAACAGGAGGACACAGTACACCCTAACACACTGGCCACACTGCCCTACATCAAGAACATATCAGAACTGACAACAAGACTCCTAAGACTACTAGGTATCATGGTGGCACACAAGCCCACAGCCACTCTACGACAAACACTCCCAAGGATTAAAGACCCCATTGCCACACATGTAGGACCAACGTGGTTTACAAAATACCACGCAACGACTGCCACAAACATTATATTGGACAGACAGGAAGGAAACTAGCCATCTAGATACATGAACATCAGCTAGCAGCAAAACGGCACGACGGACTTTTCTTAATATCAGTTTACTCGTTCAATGAAGCCATCAGTTTAACTGGGACAAGGTAACCATAGTAGCCCAAGCCAAACATAGACATGCATGGGAGTTCCTAGAGGCATGGTTCTCCACCCATAATGCAATCATCAAACAGAGAGAATTGGACCCATTGTGCAAAAGAGTGGTGGGCGTGTGGAATGCGCTGCCAGCAGTGGTAGTGGAGTTGGATACTTTAGAGACTCTTAAGCGACTCTTGGATAGGCACATGGAGGATAGTAAAATGTAGGGTATGCAGGGTAGATTGATCTTAGTAGGATAATAGGTCGGCTCAACATTGTGGGCCGAAGGACCTATACTGTGCTGTACTAGAACATAGAACAGTACAGCACAGTACAGGCCCTTCAGCCCACGATGTTGTGCCGACCTATTATCCTACT